AAGGACAAGGTTGGGGGTAGGGTCACAGATTAACAGCATCTCAAATACAGAACAAAATGGAGTCTCTTATGTCTACTTCTTTCTATATAGACACAGTAACAGGCTGATCTCTCTTCCTTTTCCCCACAGTTTTGTTCTTGTTTCTCTAGTTTCTTGAGATGTGACCTTACATTTTCTGTTTGTGTTCCTTCAGACTTTTTGATGTAGGCGTTTAAGGCTATGAACCTTTCTCTTAGCACCACCTTTGCTGTATCCCAGAGGTTTTGATAGATTGTGTCACTCTTATCGTTCAGTTTGAAGAATTTTTAAGTTATCTTTAAAAGGATTTGATCATTAAACATGTATACAGAAGATGTGTCTTTGTTTTACCCACCACTGACAAGTTGTACAAAAGTACAATACATTTGTCAGTTAACAGTATATTCTACATTACTAAAAACATCTTATTGTGAAATGTCTGCTTTTCTATGCAAGAATACATTTGATCCAATAAAACGATAGCATTTCTTATAAAGTTGGACTTTTTATGCTAAAGAAAATTATTACATTTTTGTTCAACATATTTATTGTTATACAGTTATCACAACACAAAAGCAGTGGAGTGCCTTGGAATCTGAACAGTATTTATCCTGGAGAAGATGATTGTTGACAATTTTCATGGAAATACCTGAGACAAATAGTTCTCTTCCTTGTGTGTTGAGAAATCAGTAATGTAGATTCCATTTTAGAATGTTAGGTAGAAAGTCATTCTGAATTCCTGTTTTTACAGTGTATTGATTTTATTATTTATTTGTTTACCCTTTAAGATAAGTGGCAGTTACCAATTATAGGTGATGAAGCAGAAAAATTTTATGACTTTATTTTATGATAAAACTTTTAGAAAAGTTGTGTATAAAATACTGATACCAAACTAGTCTTATCTTGTAAAATATTTTTTACAAATTGAAAATTTCTGTCTTCTTACATTGTTTTTTAAACCTTTATTGCAAATATAGGAACCATTTTTCTTTTAATGATCCCTGAAAAGACAAATCAAGGGGTGAATTTAAAAAAAGGTAAACAGTTTTAGTCATTATATTTTTTAAGAGCTCTAAGCGTTATGTGTTTTCCTTCAATTTTTGCTTAGCTTTTACGAGGCTTGTAGGTGCTGAGGATTGAAATATAAAAAAGACATTCTTTCTTGAGATTCCAGTCCACAGAGAGACAAATATGACGAATATTTAAACAAGTGAAGGGTTGGTACCAGTTGCTTTCTGTATGGGATAGCTATTGCAACTGAACGAATTAGTAGATGATGGTTCTCTTGATTGCAGTGACTTATCCCGAGCATATTCCTAACTTTTAGGTTTGGTTTTTTATTTGATTTTGTATACTTGTAATTCTTCTAGTCTATAGATAGCTCAAAATATTGTTATACCCTTGTAATAGATGTTGCATATTTGCAGCATTCAAGGGAATCATCCTAGACTAAGTTGGTTACTTAGTTCCTTTTGGACTTCACTTTCTGGTATTTAAAAAATATGACCATACTTCATTGACCTGTTTCCTAAATATTTGTCTCTATAGTATATAGGACATTCAGATAAAATAAGTACATTTTATGAACACTTTGGAAGGTTTCTGAATGGCTAATATAAATAATCTTCAACCTGTAATATCACTTCTACTCCTAAGTGTTAAAAATTCTTGAATATAATATGTTTTGTAATATAGACATACAAAACTAAATTACAAGAGGTAAATATCTGAAAAAAATGTAGAAAACCTTGAATATAACCTTTGATTTTGTGTAAACATAAAATGAAGTCAGGGAACACATTACCATGTACTGTTAGAGTTGGGAAAACAGAGCCTTAATGGTTGCCAAAGCTCTAACTCATTACTTCAATTGGAGTAGTTTTGAAGAAATTCATAAATATTCACATTTTTAAAGTGACATCTACAGGTGTGAGTAAAAACAATTACATTAGTAAAATTTGGAAGTAATGTCTGTCTGTTCTTTTCATTATCACCAATATTCTAGATTGAGTTGGGAATAGAAGTAAGTGAATTTACTTTTGAAAAGTCTGCTTGCAATTGAATATCCTATCCTTTGTAGCTATTGTTGCCAAGTCTTTGAAAAGTTAGATTTCTACAGATTTAGGCATAAATAACATACATTTCTTATGGCATGGGCCTAATAAGACAAACTATAAGTAACTCATGGTTTTTATATTTTATAGTCCTGCTGGGTTCAAATATTGTAATACTTCAAGAAATAGACTAATAAAGATTTTGACACTGTTGTGATTATTTAGGAATTATCAGGCTTTTTGGAAACAGTGTAGGGAAATTGACTATTGTTGAGTGGTTGTGCTATGCAATTTTGATACAATTTTGAATTAGTATCACAATGAGTAGCAGTTATACTTTTTATTTTGTCTTTGAAATGTTATTCTTTTACACATCCTTATAACCTTTATTTTTTATGAGAGAGTAATGACAAAAAAATCTCTATTGAGATAAATTTAATAACTAAAATATTTCCTAGGTTTCAGCTTATGTGGAGAAGTTGCTGTGAAGCCACCTGTAAATCCATTTACTGAATTTATGGAGACGGCTATAAATGATGGAAGTCATTCAGAAGAACTCTTTTCCCATCTTAAAACTATATCAGAGAAAGAAGATTTACCACGGTGTACCAGTGAAAGTCATCTCAGCTGGTATTCTCATCAGTATCAGGGGAAATCTAAATTTCCGATTTCAGAATTTCCTGTTTTGTCCATAATATAAATTATTTGAATCAAATACAGCATTCTTTTAAGAGTATCTTTTTCAAATCTAGTATTTATTTATTAAAATATATTTAATCTGATTACAAAGGTACTCATCTAGCAGAATTCAGCTAGTTTTTTTGAATCTGAATGAAAGCAATTAAAAATGAAAACCTGGCTGGGCACAATGGCTCATACCTATAATCTCAGTACTTTGGGAGGATGAGGCAGGTGGATCACTTGAGGTCAGGAGTTCAACATCAGCCTGGCCAACATGGTGAAACCCCATCTCTAGTGAAAAAATGCAAAAATTAGCCAGATGTGGTAGCGTGTGCCTGTTGTTCCAGCTACTTGGAAGGCTGCGGTAGAAGAATCACTTGAACCCAGGAGGTGGAGGTTGCGGTTGCGGTGAGCCGAGATAGCACCACTACACTCCTGGGTGATAGAGCCTGGGTGACAGAGCGAGACTCCATCTCAAAAAAGAAAAAGAAAAAAAAATGAAAACCTCATCTGTTAAGAATTTGTAAAATAAAGCTATTTAAGATAAATGAAAATGTAATAATATGTGATATCAGAAATGTAGTTAATGCATGTGAAATCACTGTCATTTCGTATATTACTATATAGCAAATACTTGTCATACTTCTTTAGAGTGGGGAATACACTTGTTATTTACATGAAATATTGCCCCCTGCCAAGTGGCAATCTTAGTATACCATTACTGTCAGTATGGATAGCTTAGTCCAGCTTCTGGTTTAACTTGTTATAAATGAAAATAATATTTTATCATCTATAATCATACTTGACTTTCTGCCTATAATTTTTAATAAGGGACAGGTGTCATTTATAGATAGAATGTTCTTAGGCTCCTTACTTTAAGCCAGTTGTACTTAACACGTATTTTTGACATAGCCTCTAGGATGCTGTCAGTTGTCAATGAGCCTTTATGTTTTACAAAGAAAGAGAAAAGCTGCCAATTAAAGAGTTTCCGTATCACTTGAAATTTTATTTATAAATATTGAAAATGCTCCTTCAAACTTAACTATACATGTGTCTTTAACCCAAATAACTTTTGTGATTACATACAAGTAAAATATAAGTAAAATAAGGTATTCTTAAAATTTGCTTACACTCAAAGTCCAAGTTTCGAGCTGCTTTTGGACTAAAAGTTGTCCTTGCTAATAAGAGTACTGTATACGTGATACGGCATTTCTGAGGAGCATCTTTAAATGAAGTTGGATTTAACTTAAATTTTGTATGTGCATTTGTAATTAGCCTGAAGCAGGACATCCTAAATGAAAAGACTGAATTGGAAGCGACACTTAAGGAAGCGGAGTTGGTAACTTGTTCTATAGAATTACTTTTGCCTCTATTTAAGGACACCATTGAAAAGATTAATTTTGAAAATGTGAGTGACTTATGAATATATAATAAAATGAAAAGCTAGTATATTACTCAGAATGCATTAACTGAGGTCTCATATTTTATGTAGGTATGCTCACATATGAGTATTTAATACCAAAAATGAGGGTTTATCAGAATTCTTTATTCCCGTGTCATTAACTACAATTCTTTTCCTGAAAGATAATCTCAGGCATACACCTGATAAGAGGCTAAGCTAGAAACAATATATTTTGGGTGCTTGAATTAACCGGAGTTGAACTAGAAAATCAGCTTTTCTGAAGAGCGAATTTAAAACTAAAATCTTCTGAGAGGTGAAATGTATCAGTATTTGATAGTATTATTTGGAATAGAGAACTGTTTTTAAGTTCCAGCATATTAAAGTTTAAATTAGGGACAAACAATAGATTATCTTCTATAACTTTTATTTAAAAGCCTAAAATGCTTTTAGAATATAAGCTCTTATTTTGATTTCATTTTATTTTAATGTACTGTATAACAGATCCAATTTACAAATTTTGTAACATTATTACTATGCACAAAAGAATGATTTTGTTAGGAAAAAATATGTTTGATAGTATCATATTTTAGAGGGTTTTACTTAATGCTGTGTCTTAAAATGTGTATGTGGTTCTTGTAATTTGTCAGGCGAATCTTTCAGCATCGAATTTGAAGATTTCCGAACAGAAGGAAATATTAACAAAAGAATTAGACACTTTCAAAAGTGTAAAACTAGCTTTAGAACATCTTCTTAGAGAGCGAGACTACAAACAAGTAAGGCATTAACACTAAGCACTCATTTTAATAGTGATATTTGTCACTTGAAGGATACATTATTTTTAAACTGTAGAAATTATTGGTATATTTGAAATGGAAATAATTCTTTGAATTTTGTCAGTCATGAATCCCTACCTTTAATGTTTCATAAGTAGTTCTATATGAAAACCACATTTTTATAGAAAATATATTTTTATTTTTCATCTCAAAAACTTTACTTGTTATACTTAATTTAGCTGATTCTAATAAAATATACACTTTTTGAGTTTAAACTCTTTGTACATTATATTTATATATATGTAACATATCTATATATTCTTCATCTGGTAAAAGCTTTATTGAAATAGAATTCACATACCATACAGTTCTCCCATTTAAATTATAAAATTCAGTGGTTTTCATTGTATTCACAGAGTTGTGCAGCCGTCACCACAGTCAATTTTAAAGCATTTTTATCACTCCAAAAAGAAAGCTTATACCCTTTAAATCACCTAAATTATTCTTCTGACTCCCTTTTGACTTTTTCCTATGATAATTTTTTTCAGAATTGTAAAAACTAATATTAGGTAATAGTTTTTGTAATTAAAAACTTAACATGCTTATAGAAAATTTTGATAAGCAGAGAAATATTCTCTTGATCTCAGCACTTAGTGAAACATCACGATTAAGGACTGTTAATTTTATGTTGTGTATGTTTTGCAGTCTTTTGTTTCTTTACTGTATATATGTTATGTGTGCATATATACGTGGTGTTTTAGAAAAATGGAGTAAAACTACTCTCTTTGTTTTGTAACTTGACTTTTATACTTAACACTGTATTGTCAATATTTTCTCATGTATTGAATATTTTTTGAATAGAAAGGAATCTTAACTCGAGTTCTTTGGACCCTTATTGATCCAAGGATGGCCTTTATGAAATCCATAAGCCCTCTGAAATTCCGTGTATAATTTTGTATTATATGTACATACATATATAGTTTTGGGTGAAAAGAATTGATTAACTTTTTCACATTCTAAAGCAGAAGTATGACTTTCAAAAATGAATAAATAGTCTTCTGTGGTCTCATTTAAAATGGCTACATAGAATTCTGTTACTGATTCGCTGTAATTCTTTAAGAGATTTCTTATCGCTAGAATTTAGATTGTTGATAATTTTTGCCTCTTTGTAAACAGCACTGTGTTGCATTCTATACTCTATACAAACTTCTTTTGTATAGAGGATTTTTGTGATGTTAGTGTCATTGACCTATACCTTCTGAAGCATTCTTTTGAGATCAATTTAGTAAATTAACTAATTTCATAAATTGCAGACCAAAAATAATTTGGAATACTTGAGCAAAAATCTTTTCAATGGTTAACTCTTTTAAAAATCTGAATTAAAAGTCATATTAATTTATTGAGTAATGCTTATTCCACTTCCTACTTTTTTATATAGAGAAATATAATTTGTGATCACTAATTTATAACGTTCTTTTCTCAGACAGGAGACAATTTACCCAGCATGTTGCTAGAAAATTTAACTGATAATAAAAGTGAAAATACTGTAAGTCCACACTTAACTTTTTGTCCGTTCTTTCTGTAATTGTTATTTGCATGCTGCTTGGTTTTATAAAATTAGCCAATATTATCCAAGTTGTGAAATGTCTAATTCTTATTTTATATTTGCTCAAGAATCTTAAGAAGAAGGTATTTGAAAAGGAGGCCCATATCCAAGAACTTTCTTGTTTGTTTCAGACTGAAAAGGTAAGCAAAATTTGAGCTTTTGAGCTTAATTCATTTTATTAATATTGACTTCTTTTTTTTTTTTTTTTTCCCCATCCTGGCCTCAACTCCTCAGAAATAAACACAGAAAAGTGTTTTGAAATTCTAGATTATTTGGATATTTTACAGCTTTTACCTATCAAATATAACATCTTAATTTTATTAAGCTTTTTTTAGAGTTTTATGGTGTTTTGTCAGGATATTTGGCATAAATCACTTCATAGAGGAACTGTTTTAAATTTGTATTGTATTTCAGTTGGGTGACAAATTAAGGAATGTTAGTGTTTGTAGGAACATTTTAGGTATACCCATACCTTTATAAAGATAGATGGGAATTTTAAAAAAGAGATGATTATCAGGAACCATTAAATAAAAAAGGCTGGGGGAAAGAATTTAGCCCTGGTTGGGCATGAAATACATTTGTAATAGGGGCGGCAGTTTATGTAAAGTAATGCTTTGCTTTTTATCAGCTGTTTAGATTGTTTTTTAAATCAGGGTAAAATTAGAGGTGCTGGGCTGGGGATACAGCAAATAATATGGTTGTTTTTGGTTTTCTCTTTCTCTTTGTTACAGGCAAATACTTTGAAAGCAAACCGGTTTTCTCAATCAGTAAAAGTAGTACATGAACGACTACAGATCCAAATTCATAAAAAGGAAACCGAGAACAATAAGTTGAAAGAATACGTAAAGGTTATATATAAATATATATCCATTTTAATAGCTTAAGTGATAAAATTAATGAAACACTATAAAGCCATTCCTTAGTTCTAGAATTTGATGGTTTTAAAATACACAGTTGTTGACATGGGAAATACATATTTAAGGTAAATCTTAGTATTTGTGGCCTAACTAAAGGTTTGGGTCCAAATTTCAATATAAAAATGCTGTCTCTGTTTAATACCAATCTAGGAAGGATTTATGGGATTGAATTACTTTAAAAATCATTTCCACTTCATAATTAATTTATATTTACTGTGGAAAATTTATAGAAAATAAATTTAAATACACCAAAATCATTGTTAACATTTTGGTGTACATTATTTCAGTCTTTTTTCTCTGACTGTACATACATACATATATACTTTCACATGTTTAACAGTCAATACAAGGTTTATTTTTTGTTACTAATCATAATAATTTTAAAATCAGCCCAACTTTGATGTTCACAAAATTAAGTAATTCCCTTATTAAACAACTTTTGATTTAATTATTCTTTTGGAGTCAAAGTCACTTTGAGATGAGAATTTGAGGTGGCATGTCATACAATATAAGGTAACTTTTTTTTTTATTTCCGCCAAAGGCAAAGAAGCAATATTCCCACCTTGAGAGGTTACAGAGACTCCAACTCCATTGAGTGTGAGGACTTCTAAATTAGATTTCTGTTTGGTTTTGCAGTCCTGAATCATAACAGATGTCTGCAGCCTGTAGCATGTTTCAAAACTGTACTCGAGTTTGTGTGTGTGTGTCTGTTTCTTCCTTTAAAGGGACATTAAGTAGATTTATGGGGCATGTAAATTTTGTATGCTAGGGCACTGCAGATGAACTGGACTTGGTATTGCAGTGGTCTGTCATAGTAAATACAGGAGAGCACATGTGATTGAATACATCTGATGTGTGATTGAACATATTAGGTAATCATCTTTCCCAATTTATCTGAAAGCATAGTGTTTATTTTTTATAACCATGATAATTTGGAGAAAGAACATAAGGCTAAAATCCTAAAATTTTGCTTTGAAATTCTACTAATAATTTGAATTCAAATTCTTTTACCAAAATGCTACTGTTAAGAAATGATTAAAAGAAACTGAGTTTATGGATTTTTCTACATTTTCTCTCACAGACTTTTGGATTTAAGGCATTAAGTAATTAAGGGGTTCAGAATTTAGTTCTTTTTGACTTAGGTTTGACAGTGTTTTGTTTTTAAGAGTATGAATCCAATGAACTCAATTTGGCAACATCAATCTCAACTGTTTAGTGTTGAGTAATTTGTTGTATTGGGTCTTTTAAAAATTTACATTGTAAATCTCTGGGAACTATCCCACAGATGCCTTGCACCAGTTTTTCTTTCTAGATCTTTGTGATGTAACAATTAGAGTTAGAACATTTTCATATTTTCAGAAGAGATTGAGAATAATTGTCTGTATAAAATGTGACATGTATACGGACACTCCTTTGGAGATAGAAGACAGATAATCAACTTTATGTGTTCATTCATTTGGCAAATGACTTGAGAGGTTATTTGGAAATTATAAAAATAATTTGTCATTTCAGTATACTCCTTGATAGTGCCTAAGTGTGGGATTTAATAAATCTGGTGAGAACATCGTGTTTGGAACCGTGTTCAAAAAGAACATTTACTTTCTATGTTTAAAAGTCTTTTAACCTAAGACAGCAACTATTCATGGTGTGATGATGACACCGTGTGGACTTCTAGAGGAATGACAGCAGTGTTTCCTGTGGGATGTTCCTTTGTCTTATGTCGACTTATTGTACTGCTGTTTTTCCCCAACTAGTTATGTTTTATGGGATTTTGTTTTTTTAGAAACAATTTAAGAATGTATTGCTCCTTCTCTTAGTTTACTTAGTCACTCTTCAAAGAAATCAAATCTAAATCTTAATATATACTTCTTAATCTCAATTTTAGTGGCAGTTAAGAAACTTAGATTTTGCTGATTGTAGAGTTAAGTTGAAAAGTCCTAGGTTTAGCTTTTACTGTGACTCCTTTGCAATTTTTAAAAATTAAAATGGCTGTCTAAGGAATGGGAGACCAAAACTTAAATTCTGTAATAATTTCACATTTCAATATTACACAGGTTTCAAAAATGTAAAAACATTGAAATCATAAGTCTTTAAATTAATAGATACTTAATACTCAAATACTTTAAATACAAAGTCTTAAAATAATTTGAAATAAAAACATTTGAGTCATCACCTTAAATCACATCCCTCATCTACCCAGCCTAATATTTTGTCTCTCATGTCACCAAGAGATATGCCAAAGAGATAGTCATGCCAATTAGTTACAGTCACATTCAATGATAGAAACGTGTCCTCAATAATACTAATCTTATGACTGTTATAGTCATTAATTTGTCTAAACCTGTGTTTGGTCTTGGAATAATGACTTCCATAAATTTACTTTATTGGATAAAGTAGTATTTTATCATCTTTAATGTAACTCTAGTGTCAGGACATGCCCCCTAATTCTAGTAAATTAAAATTTAGTAAATAAATCTATTTATCTCATCTATAGCCTTCTTAAAGATTATAATCATATCTTTAAGATTTTAGCTTTCAAAATGAATAGTCCTAATATATTTGGGGAGCTACCAATTCCTTTGAATATTGGTACATATTTAGATTGTTTCTAGCTCAATTGTGTTTTTTTAAACTAGTTTTTAAAACTAGTAAGATGTGTAATATTCTAGATGTGAACTAAAAAAGCTGAGTTAATCACAGAAGTTTTAAGGAAGTTAGTGTTTGTACCATAATCACTAATACTAGTATCTTTAATAATGGTAGCATTAGTTTGATATAGGATTATATGTTTTAAATTTGCATCCTTTAACAGGTTATAGAGAAGCATTGGTGAAGTCACCTTTCTTCACTATTTTGCTTTTTTAATTAATCTTATTAATCATTTTGATAAAACCTATATAGAGAATTATTGTATTAGGCCATTTTAACATTGTTATGAAGAAATACATGAGACTGCATAGTTTATAAAGAAGAGAAGTTTAATTGGCCCACAGTTCCACAGGCTGTACAGGAAGCATGATTCTGGCATCTGCTCAGCTTCTGGGGAGGCCTCAGGAAACTTTGCAGTCATGGTGGAAGACAAGCGGGGAGTGAGGCATCTCACATGGTGGGAGCAGAAGCAAGAGAGAGAGCAAGTAGGGAGGTACTGCACACTTTTAAACAACCCGATTTCGCGAGAACTCACTATCAGGAGAACAGCACCAAGAGGATGCTGTAAACCATTCATAAGAAACAACCCCTGTAATCCAACCACCTCCCACCAGGCCCCAGCGCCAACACTGGGGGTTACAGTTTGACATGAAATTTGGGTAGGGACACAGATCCAAACCGATATAGTTTGGCTGTGTCCCCACCGAAATCTCATATTGAATTGTAATCTTAAGAATCCCCATGTGTTTAGGGACAGACCTGATCGGAGGTGATTGGATCATGGGGGTGGTTTCCCCCATCCTGTTCTCATGATAGTGAGTGAGATCTGATGGTTTTATAAGAGGCTCTTCCCCCTTGGCTCTTCACTCTTTTCTCTCCTGCTGCCATGTGAAGAAGGTCCCTGCTTCCCCCTCGCCTTCTGCCATGATTGAAGTTTCCTGAGGCCTCCCTAGCCATGTGGAACTGTGAGTCAATTAAAACTTGGCCCTTTGTAAATCACCCAGTCTCAAGTATTTCTTTATAGCAGCATGAGAATGGACTAATACAGTTAATTGGTACTGCAGAGAGTGGGTATTGCTATAAAGATACCCACAAATGTGGAAGTGACTTTGGAACTAAGTAATTGGCAGAGGTTGGAACAGTTTGGATGGCTCAGAAGAAGACAGGAAGATGTGGGAAAGCTTGGAACTTCCTAGAGGCTTGTTGAATGGTGTTGAGCAAAATGCTGATAGTGATATGAACGATGAAGTCCTGGCTGAGGTGGTCTCAGATACAGATGAGGAACTTGTTGGGAACTGGAATAAAGGTGACTCTTGCTATGCTTGAGCAAAGAGACTGACGGTATTTTACCCCTGCCCTAGAGATCTGTGGAACTTTGAATTTGAAAGAGATGATTTAGGGTATCTGGTAGAAGAAATTTCTAAGCAGAAAAACATTCAAGATATGACCTGGTTGATTCTGAAAGCTTTCAGTTTTATGCATTCACAAAGTGATGATTTGAAATTGGAACATATGTTTAAAAGGGAAACAGAGCGTAAAAGTTTGGAAAATTTGCAGCCTGACCCTGCGATAGAAAAGAAACACCCATTTTCTGGGGAGAAATTCAAGTGGTCTGCAGAAATTTGCATAAATAATGAGAAGTCAAATGTTAATCAATGGGGAAAATGTCTCTGGGGCATGTCAGAGGTCTTCATGGCAGCCCCTTCCATCACAGACCCAGAGGTCTAGGAGGAAAAAGTGGTTTTGTGGGCTGGGCCTAGGGCCTTGCTGCTTTGTACTGTCTTGGGACTTGGTGCCCTGTGTTCTAGTTGTGGTTAAAAGGAGCCAATGTATAGCTCAGGCCATTTTTTCAGAGGGTGGATGCCCCAAGCCTTGACGACTTCCACATGGTGGTGGACTTGCAGGTGCACAGAAGTCAAGAATTGAGGCTTGGGAACCTCAGCCTAGATTTCATGGGATGTGTGGAAGCACCTGGATGTCCAGGCAGAAGTTTGCTGCAGGGGTAGACCCCTCATGGAGAACCTCTGCTGGGGCAGTGTGGAAGAGAAATGTGGGGTTGGAGCCCCCACATAGAGTCCCCATTGGAGCACTGCCTAGTGGAGCTATGAGAAGAGGGCCACAGTCCTCCAGACCCCAGAATGGTAGATCCACTGACAGCTTGCACCATGTGCCTGGAAGAGCTCCGGATACTCAATGCCAGCCTGGGAAAACAGCTAGGAAGGGGGCTGTACCCTGCAGGCCACAGGGCTGGAGCTGCCAAAGACCGTGGGAGCCCACTCCTTGCATCAGCATGATGTGAAACATGGAGTCAAGGGAGATTATTTAGGAGCTTTAAGATTTAATGACTGCCCTGTTGGATTTTGGACTTGCATGGGTCCTGTAGCCCGCCCTTTTTTGGTCAATTTCTTCCATTTGGAATGGTAACATTTACCCAATACCTGTGCCCCCATTGTTTCTTGGAAGTAATTAACTTGCTTTTTATTTTACAGACTCCTAGGCAGAAGGGACTTGCCTTGTCTCAGATGAGACTTTAGACTTGGACTTTTGGGTTAATGCTGGAATGAATTAAGACTTTGGAGGACTGTTGGAAAGGCATGATTGTGTTTTGAAATGTGATGACATGAGATTTGGGAGGGGCAAGGGGCAGAATGCTATGGTTTGGCTGTGTCCCCACCCAAATCTCATTTTGAATTGTAATCCTTATAATCTCCATGTGTCTAGGGAGAGACCTGATAGGAGGTGATTGGATCATGGGGGTGGTTTTCCCCATGCTGTTCTCATGACAGTGAGTGAGTTCTTGTGAGACCTGATGGTTTTATAAGGGGCTCTTCCCCCTTTACTCCTCACTCTTCTCTCTCCTGCCACCATGTGAAGAAGGTCCTTGCTTCCTCTTCACGTTCTGCCATGATCGTAAGTTTCCTGAGATCTTCCCAGCCATGTGGAACTGTGAGTCAATTAAACTACTTTCCTTTATAAATTACTCAGTCTAGGTTGTTTCTTTATGGCAGTGTGAGAATGAAGTAATACACAAACCATATCAGTTATGTACATGTTTTTACAATGTTTACATAAACATTGGAGTTCTGAAATAATTTAATTGTTGCTAATTTTTTTTTTTAGAGCTTAGAAACCAAGATAGCCAAGTGGAGCCTGCAATTGAGAATGAATAAGAATGAGGCTATAGTGATGAAAGAAGCAAGTAGGCAAATAGCTGTAGCTTTAAAAAAGGCATCTAAAGTTTACAAACAAAGGCTTGACCATTTTACAGGAGCTACTGAAAAACTTACTTCCCAAATTAGAGATCAGGTATGTAAATTCATTCTTTTTAAAATTAAAAGTTATATTTTATGTACTTTGTTTATATAATTAATGTTATGATGCTTCATATAGTAATTTTATTCTTCTCTTAATGCTGTTAATACCAGAAAAACTTACACTTTTTGCTTTAAATCTTTTATTTTGAAATATTACATAAAATGTCAAATTTTCATATTGAAATATATCAGCATTTCCTTGGGAACTTTACTTAAAGGAAATATTAAGTGTGTCCCCCCCTACACAAACAAAAAGGTTCTATTGGCCAACTAATTAAGGGTAATATATTATACACATTTCCTCTTGGGACATTGTGGTCCATGTTAGCAAATTAAAGGCTCTGAGAAGGCTTTCAGAAACAGTGGAACGAAGGGTGTTGAACTAAGAGTTTCCCACACTTTTTTAACCACAGAGCTATTCTTTTACCCACAGAGCAACTCTTGGAACTGGTTCTGAGGAACACTAGTTTGAGAAATGCTGATTTATGTTATTAGACCCTATGACTTTATTCAGTAATTAACCTCATTTAATCTCAGTAATACATTTAAAACCATGTGCTGACATAAACACATCATGTAAAATATATCTTTGGGTATAGTACAAATTTGAAAATGGCCTTAGTGCTTTGTTGTTTTCAACACATTATATTTATTCAATTACTACTTAATAATTTTTTAAATAAAGTCTGACTGATATCCTACCTCTTAAGAACTTATGTTAAGGCTTATAGAATTATTAGAGGCTTTTAGAAAAGAAAACAGACTTGTATAAAAGCTTATTGCAAATAAAATAGTATTTTGTTAACTTTGTGACTTGGGATAAGGAACTTAACCTCTTTAAGCTTCAATTTCCTCATGTATAAAATAGGGGATCATAATACTCCCTATCTCATGTATTTGTAGGGAGAGATAAATGAGAAAATATATTTTTGCACTGCCCTCCTTTCTGTTCCTGTAATGCATGAAGTTTTTTTCTTTGTTTTGTTGTTTTTCTTGTTTGTTGCTGCATCTGGCTTTAATGTTCTTCCCTGGCTCACAATAGCTCTTTCTTTTTTTAATCATTCAGGTATCTTTTCAATTGACATCTCTTCAGAGAGGCCTTTCTTGACCATTCCTTTTGAAGTAGTCCTAAAACAATCATATCAATGTCTTAATTTTTTTTCATAGCATTCACTATAATCTGAAACTATATCATTTATTTTTTCATTTATCACTGCTGTTGTGTTTTGTTTTATTTTTAACTGTTTCCTTCTACTTGAATATAAGTCTCAGAAGGCAGGAGCTTGCTATCCTATTCACCTAAGGTAAGGGTACCATTATTTAAAACAGTATCTTAAGTCTAAAACATGAACAGTTCAGCAATAACAGCTAAATAATAGTTTAACAAAATGTTATCACATATCTACACAATGCATAAATTTTACCAAGGACTACAGAGAGAGATCAAGGACAAGGAGAATTTGTAAAGGTCTGTGGTCTTTTGTAATTAGAAGGTCACTAGTTACTAATTCAGATGCAGTTTCAGTGCAGTGGAAGGAAAGGTGAAAAGGGGGATTTTGCTTTATATCTGCATGTTGTAAGGAGAGATGAAAGAAGAAATGAGGATTTGGAAAGTACTAGAGACACATGATTCTGACATTTAGTACCCAGGGGTGAGGATGTTAAATGCTCTATAATTCTGCACACTGAAGAATTAACCCATTTCCTTCTTTGGAAATTAGATCCTAATTTTGCTTCTGGTGGCCTTAGATGTGCCATTTCTCTAAAGCAAAGAGAAAAGGTAGGCCAACTCAAAAAACTCTCTAGGAAGGTAATTCCATCACTGACTAGTTTTGACATCTAGGAATGCCATACTGATGAAGTAGGTAATAATTATCTTGCTAACACATAAATTCTTTTCTTACTGATAAAACTTCTGTATATCTTAATTTATATTATAAACTTATACTTCATAATTTATATTAAAACTTATTTTATACAAAATATGAAAATACTAGTCTTTAATATATCAAAAATATTACTGTGAAAAAATTTAAACAAAACAGTCTTGCGCATAATACATGCCCAGTAAATACTTGCTCAGTAAATGGATGAACGATGAAAGAAGGAAGTACCCAATAAATGTTAATTGTTGTCATTACTGTTTCTGAGCTTTTTGATTTGTAATTACTGGCATTGTTGCCTTCCAGTGTGTTTTTATGTAGAATGTAGACAGGAGGCACAGTGGCTACAGCTCTTTAGGTGGATCTGCAGTTAATAGATTTGAGCTATTTATTGAGTGTGTGCTGTGCTGCAGGCACTATCAAGGCCCTAGAAATACAGCTATGAACAAAAGCAGATAAAAATCCCTACCTCGTGGGAGTTCACATTCAAAATGGATAAGCCACTACTATCATTTATGTCTCTTTGTGGACAGTAGCAGTGTTTGAAGGCTGATGGGGTGACCTCTATAAAATAGATCTTGGCGTCGTTATAGCAAAGATAAGTAAGGTGCATCACCAAATGTTATGGAGCTTTGGAACTAGGGGTAGTTTCTGTGTGTACCACAGGGGCTTTCTCTTCTGATGCTTATGTGGTTGTTACCATCTTCTGTGTATAGAGCATGAAATTAATTCAAGACCAGCCTGGGTAACATAGCAAGATGCTATCTCTACTCTCTCTCTCTCTATATATATAAATAAAATAGTATATACACCATATGTATAAAATAGATATATGTAGACATATATATACATATATATCTAGATATATTTTACGTGTGTGTGTGTGTATATATGGTGGCTGTGGTGGCACACATTTGTAGCCCTAGCTACTAGGGAGGCTGAGGCAGGAGGATCCCTTGCACTCAGGAGTTGGAGGCTACAGTGAACCATCATGACCGTGCCACTGCACTTCAGCCAGGGCAAAATAAAAAAAAAAGTAAAATGGAAAGTTCAGTAAAAAGAAAAGAACTTATCTTAATTATGAAATATTGTTTAAAAATAGTTGCAACATCTTTTAAAATGTTAAGTTGAAACTTCCACTATGTGTATATAAAATAATAGCAATATAGATATTTACTTTAAAATTTTTCTGTTCAAAGTTGTACACTGACTTTATTTCAATAGTTTTTGGGGGACAGGTTGTTTCTGGTTACCTGGAAAACTTCTTTAGTGGTTATTTCTGACATTTTGGTGCACCTATCAGCCAAGCACTGTACACTGTACCCAATGTGTAGTCTTTTACCCCTCACTTCCCTCCCTCCCTTCCCCCAAATTCCCAAAGTCCATTATATCAAACTTATGCTTTTGCGTTTTCATAGCTTAGCTCCCACTTATGAATGAGAACATACGATATTTGGTTTTCCATTCCTGAGTTACTTCACTTAGAATAGTGATCTCCAACTTCATCCAGGTTGCTGCAGATGTTCCTTTTAATGGCTAAGTATATTCCATGGTGGTTATATACCATATTTTCTTTATCCACTCATTGGTTGATGGGCATTTAGGCTGGTTCCATATTTTTGCAATTATGAATTGCACTGCTATAAACATGCATGTACAGTTTTCTGTATTTGAAGTTCCATACTTTTTGGAAGATTGCTTCACAGTTTATAATGTATTTGTGTTTAGAGATCTGAGCAAAACAAAAATGTTTTAAAATTATAGTATGAATACTTTTATGTATTTTTTAGGAAGCCAAGTTGTCTGAAACAATTTCAACTTCCAATGCCTGGAAAAGTCATTATGAGAAAATTGTAATAGAAAAAACTGAATTGGAAGTACAGATTGAAACAATGAAAAAGTAAGAAAAAATTTAGACTCTTTTGTTATTTAGTAAGAGTTTTCACTTTTTAAAAAATTCTTTGAGTTGTTTGTATTTTGATTTTTTTAGATTACATATGGTAAAGGTGCTACTATATGATTTGATATTTTTGCATTTATAATTCTGTAAAGTTTTCTTACCTTACTATTAAAAATAATTAAAATGATTGCTCATTAAAAGTGAATTGGTGTTCACATTTTGATTTTTTTTTTTTTTTTTGAGGCAGTGTCTCAGTTTGTTGCACAGGCTGAAGTGCAATGGTGTGATCTTGGCTAATTGCAACCTCTGCCTCCCGGGTTCAAGCAATTCTCCTGTCTCAGCCTCCCTAGTAGCTGGGACTACAGGCACGCACCGCCATGCCCAACTATTTTTTTTGTATTTTTAGTAGAGACAGGGTTTCACCATGTTGGTCAGGATGGTCTCGATCTCCTGAGCTTGTGATCTGCCCACCTTGGCCTCCCAAAGTGCTGGATTTACAGGCGTGAGCCACCGTGCCTAGCCCACATTTTCAAATTTTAAACTTGTAGATTATCATTCAGTATTTCAGTATGCCATCTATTATTTGTAGTAAATGTTAATATTTACTTTTTCTTAAATGGAGGTGATGTTTCTCTTTTAAACAAGAATGTATAAAAATATATTTAAAAATTTATAATAACTGCTTTGAAAATCCTAAAAATTATTGTTCCTTAATTAAAGTGACTTAAATGCATAACAAAGAAAATGAAAAATAAAAATACATGTGTTTTATTATTTGAAATGTATTACTGATAACACTATAATGAACCCTGAATATTTGATTTTAAGTGTTTTTTGTTTCAGTTTTGTCATTGAAAACTACCATATATAATTCATTTCTAAAGTTTAGTTGTTATTGCCTCACTTAATTCTTTTCTTTAACCTTGTCCCTTAAGTAGTGTATATATGTGTGCATGTGTATGAATGAGAGGAAGAGAGAGATGTGCATACTTGTGGATAATAGTTTAGAAGTTTTATTGAACAGCAAAGAGCATGTTGGATAATTTTTTGTTGGTATCATCAGTGGGTAATTGTTTCTAATCACAGTTACTTTGGTTGTACCCTTTTGGATTACTTCTCCCTATTTTTCTTGTGCTCAGTTCTATTTATTGTTGTGTATTCCCTATTTGAAACATTGCATCCTACCAAAGTGATTTCAGAAACACACTTAAAATGTGTTATTTGAATAAAAATTTTTATGACTTTTATAAAATGTGTCATTCATTTTATAAAGGCAAATCATCAATCTTTTGGAAGCTCTGAAGAAAATGGAAGACGATGGAAAAAATTCATGTGAAGAAATTCTTAGGAAAATTCACTCAATTGAATATGAAAATGAAACTCTGAATCTTGAGAATACAAAATTAAAGGTACTATGTATGAGTGTTTGTACAAGCGTGTATTGTATAATGACCATAGTCTACTTAGTAGAAATAACTTGAAGAAAAAGTATGTTTAGAGCAGTGCTCTTATATAATTTTGTCTTCTGTGCTTGTCAGGATATTATGTTTTCAGCAGTGCTAAATAATATTTATGAAGTTAACAGTCTCTTTGCCTCAACTTTTAAAATAAACTACTATCCAATTTTGCAGTTAAATGAGTCATCCAAATTACATTAACTTTAGTACATAAGATTATTTCTAGGTGTCATGGTTACAATAGGATATAACCTCAGGCCTGGTCTGTTTGAAACCAGAAAGTATGTTCTTGGCTGCTTCATAATCAGAAAGAATTTTCCAGCTTACTCATGTCCAAGAGGTAATTGCTTTCCATAGGTACCAGAGGAGAGACAGGGGAGAAGCTTTTAAATTTTCTGAGAAAAAGAGATATTTGAGTTCTCAGTCAACCCAAGATACATATAACCAGATGGAACTTGAAAGATGATGGCATCATTTCCACTTCCATAATAATACTTTTAGAGGACAGAAAATAGAAGACAGAAAAGAACCTTTTTAAACCATGAAATAAAGTTTATATGCACAGGAAAAATAATATATTAGTAGTATAGAGTACATTTTAGAGAAACTTATAAAATAAGCATCTGACATTGTTTTGTTGTATTTATAGCAGTTTAATTCTATCACTGTAATTAGAATTAACTAAATGATAATACATTTAGTCTGTGTATTAAGATGTCCTTAAGACATGTTAAATTCCTAAGAGATATTGCAGATATATTTTGTGGTCCTTGAGAGAAAAGATCTTTAATGTTAAAAGAGAAGTGAAGATCTAAGGCTTTTTTTTTTTTTTTTTTGGATTTAAGGTTTGTTTTTGTTTGTTTGTTTTGCATTAGAAATGCACTTGTTTCTTGGAAGCATTATAATTACTGGCTGTTTAGAATTACACATTGTATAAAACTTGCAGTGGGTTTTTGAAAATGAGTTTGTTTATGAGAAAAATATACACAATTTAAAAATCATCACCAAAGGAAATTATTTTAATAAAATGATAGCATTCCAGGCTTTAAGGTTCTGAATTGTTATTTTAAAAGGTTATTTTTCTGATGGAGATACATCCAAATCTCTTTTACCCTTTCTAAACCCTTCTTTCGCTATACGTCTAAAATGTGTGCTGAGAAGAGAATTTTATCCATTGTAGGTCTTAGCATTATTTTCTTAGGAGCCGATCTGTTTTCTACATACTGATCTGTCTTTGTGGGAGATTCATAGTGTTATGCAGTACAGTATATAGTAATTAAAGATTGTTTATTATATATTGCAGAAGGCAACAGATTGCCCAAGCCAAAAAGATTCTTTCCCTTTGTAGATTTATAAAGTTGGTAACTTTTCTCATCTTGATGTTGAGTTTCAGTCTCCTTTAGACCAATGGGGCAAAGCTAGGCTCACAAATCTCAAGTCTGTTTTGTTCCAGGTGGAAAGACTCGATTAGTTTGGAGTGCAGGACTTGAAATTGCCAGTCCTGTTGACTGTGGTCTTTCAGAGTGAGTGGAGGAAATAGGAATCTAAGTGATATACGTTATAGGAAGTAGCAGGGTCTTCTTTTCTCACCTTTAATGTATTTAGTAATACAATTATTTCGGCTACTTTTTGTTAGGAAAGATTTTTTTAAAAATCAAAATTGCAATGTACCTTAATACCATTTTTTTTTTGGCAGTGACATTGTGATATTTTGAATTAGAATTTTTTCCTTCAAGAAATTTTGTAAGTCCTTTATAGTCCTTCAAGCAGTATGAACTTCTTATTTCTTAATAAAAAGAAGTTCATTTATTCAGTGAACATAGTTCCTCCAACTTCTGACAATTTATTCAGTATTACCTTTTGAGTGAAGAATATATACTCATTACAGTAAAATTGGAAACTATAGAAATATAGAACAGAATGATCATTGATCCCACATTCCTTGGAGATAACTGTATTTTGTAATACTTGTTTTTTCACAGTTGTAATTAAAATAATGTCTTGCTTTGTTCACTTTAAAATGGAAACAGATACTGTATGTATATAACATATAAACTCTTTATAAGCATCCTTTTAAATTACTCTGTAATATATATTCAATGTAGAAGTGTTAGGTGATTCCCTATTTGTTGGACATTCACGTTATTCCCATTGTTTTTAACATTTAATAAAATAATGCTCTGATGAACATTTTTGTACATGAACTTCTTGTAGTATTGTCTTTAGCTTAGATTTCCATGTAGAATTACTGAGTCAAAGAATATGAACATTTTGAATGTTCTTGATATGCTTTGCTACATTTCTTCTGAAAAGGTATTTTATTACCCATACTGCCATTAGTTCTCTATACCTCATCAGCACAGGAAATGAAATGTGTGTTTTTATTTGTAGTGTTTGCTAATTTGGCAGGTAAAAATGTTATCTATGGTTTTAATTTGTAACTCTTTGAGGAGCTAGTTTTAAATTTCTAAACAATTTCTATTTTTATTCTTCTCATGGTTATCTGTGTATCAGTAAATTATATATTATACTATTCCTTGGTTTATCACATTTAGTCAATTATATTAACCTTCTAATTAGTAGAGCACTAACATAATTGATAATATAAATACTAATACAACTAAAAGACATGTTAAATTCCTAATAAATACTACAACAAACATGTAACTTTTATGCTTTCGAAAAGATAAGTGAAGGTAGTTTGATACAGGAAGCTAAAAGAGTTAAGGCTTTTATGGACATAAGATATGAACATAAGGGCAATATTCAATAAGCACTTCCAAGATAGGGCTCAATGACGAAAGAGAAGAAAGAGGAGGAGGAACATGGAGTATATGGGCTTTATGTAGAATGCTGTGTACCTCTGTGGCTTGCTGTGTTCAGCCGTGTTTGTGCGCTTTGTATTCAGCTGATGTTTTTTACATGATTCAGACAATTAATGAGCTAGAAAAAACTGCATCTGAACAAAAGTTACTTCTTTGTTATACATCATTCCCCTGCTTACCAATATTGTAAGATGAGCTTCACTTGACAGAAATGTGAAGCATAGGACAGATTATATATCTTCACCTTTTATTTGGAAAATAAGGATGTTTTCCAACTACCTGTTCTCTATCTGTTCTCCCCACATTCACTTCGCCAGTGTTATTAAATTGACAATTTGTTCTGTAACCTCAAGTGCTCTTTTAATAGATTGATTCTAAACATTAATAGTAATGACTTATAATTGTTCTTTCACTACACAGTCAAGTAATATGTTTATGCATGGTTTTTTCTTGTACAACTTTAAAATTTTACCTGGAGTTTCCAAAAACCCTACTTGTACTCTTTGCCCTTATCGTTGTCTTCCCCACCCCCCTGGCCCCTTCTTGAAATTCTTCATCCTATCTCTGTTCTCTGAAGAACCTATTTTCCCCAGATTTCTTCTACTTAGGGCCTTCTATCTTCTTGTTTCAGTCTGAATGGGTTGGTCTCTAGGCCTGCTGCCCAGATGCCATGCTGGAATTTTCTTGACTGCTACCCTGGTTCCACTGTTTCCTTGAACCCACATTGTGTTTCTTTTTCTTTTTACTGGAATATATCTGCAAATAATATTCCCTTAAGGAAGAGAAAATTAGAAGTAAACATTAAAATGGTCTCACATGTCTAAAAATGCCTTTATTCTGTCATTTTGATTAATGGTTTCAGCTGGGTATAGCAACTTAGATTGAAAGTAATTTTTACTGAGAACTTTGAAGGCTTTGCTCCATGGTCTTCCATAAGTCAGAGTTGCTAGTAGAGAAAATCTGCCATCAGTCTGATACTTATTCCTCTGTAGTGACATTTTTTATTTTTCTTTAAAGTTTTAAGAGATTCCCCTTATCCTTGGTGTTTTGAAACTTCACACACGAATCTAAGTGATATACGTTATAGGAAGTAGCAGGGTCTTCTTTTCTCACCTTTAATGTATTTAGTAATACAATTATTTCGACTACTTTTTGTTAGGAAAGATTTTTTTAAAAATCAAAATTGCAATGTACCTTAATACCATTTTTTTTGGCAGTGACATTGTGATATTTTGAATTAGAATTTTTTCCTTCAAGAAATTTTGTAAGTCCTTTATAGTCCTTCAAGCAGTATGAACTTCTTATTTCTTAATAAAAAGAAGTTCATTTATTCAGTGAACATAGTTCCTCCAACTTCTGACAATTTATTCAGTATTACCTTTTGAGTGAAGAATATATACTCATTACAGTAAAATTGGAAACTATAGAAATATAGAACAGAATGATCATTGATCCCACATTCCTTGGAGATAACTGTATTTTGTAATACTTGTTTTTTCACAGTTGTAATTAAAATAATGTCTTGCTTTGTTCACTTTAAAATGGAAACAGATACTGTATGTATATAACATATAAACTCTTTATAAGCATCCTTTTAAATTACTCTGTAATATATATTCAATGTAGAAGTGTTAGGTGATTCCCTATTTGTTGGACATTCACGTTATTCCCATTGTTTTTAACATTTAATAAAATAATGCTCTGATGAACATTTTTGTACATGAACTTCTTGTAGTATTGTCTTTAGCTTAGATTTCCATGTAGAATTACTGAGTCAAAGAATATGAACATTTTGAATGTTCTTGATATGCTTTGCTACATTTCTTCTGAAAAGGTATTTTATTACCCATACTGCCATTAGTTCTCTATACCTCATCAGCACAGGAAATGAAATGTGTGTTTTTATTTGTAGTGTTTGCTAATTTGGCAGGTAAAAATGTTATCTATGGTTTTAATTTGTAACTCTTTGAGGAGCTAGTTTTAAATTTCTAAACAATTTCTATTTTTATTCTTCTCATGGTTATCTGTGTATCAGTAAATTATATATTATACTATTCCTTGGTTTATCACATTTAGTCAATTATATTAACCTTCTAATTAGTAGAGCACTAACATAATTGATAATATAAATACTAATACAACTAAAAGACATGTTAAATTCCTAATAAATACTACAACAAACATGTAACTTTTATGCTTTCGAAAAGATAAGTGAAGGTAGTTTGATACAGGAAGCTAAAAGAGTTAAGGCTTTTATGGACATAAGATATGAACATAAGGGCAATATTCAATAAGCACTTCCAAGATAGGGCTCAATGACGAAAGAGAAGAAAGAGGAGGAGGAACATGGAGTATATGGGCTTTATGTAGAATGCTGTGTACCTCTGTGGCTTGCTGTGTTCAGCCGTGTTTGTGCGCTTTGTATTCAGCTGATGTTTTTTACATGGTTCAGACAATTAATGAGCTAGAAAAAACTGCATCTGAACAAAAGTTACTTCTTTGTTATACATCATTCCCCTGCTTACCAATATTGTAAGATGAGCTTCACTTGACAGAAATGTGAAGCATAGGACAGATTATATATCTTCACCTTTTATTTGGAAAATAAGGATGTTTTCCAACTACCTGTTCTCTATCTGTTCTCCCCACATTCACTTCGCCAGTGTTATTAAATTGACAATTTGTTCTGTAACCTCAAGTGCTCTTTTAATAGATTGATTCTAAACATTAATAGTAATGACTTATAATTGTTCTTTCACTACACAGTCAAGTAATATGTTTATGCATGGTTTTTTCTTGTACAACTTTAAAATTTTACCTGGAGTTTCCAAAAACCCTACTTGTTGCACTCTTTGCCCTTATCGTTGTCTTCCCCACCCCCCCGGCCCCTTCTGAAATTCTTCATCCTATCTCTGTTCTCTGAAGAACCTATTTTCCCCAGATTTCTTCTACTTAGGGCCTTCTATCTTCTTGTTTCAGTCTGAATGGGTTGGTCTCTAGGCCTGCTGCCCAGATGCCATGCTGGAATTTTCTTGACTGCTACCCTGGTTCCACTGTTTCCTTGAACCCACATTGTGTTTCTTTTTCTTTTTACTGGAATATATCTGCAAATAATATTCCCTTAAGGAAGAGAAAATTAGAAGTAAACATTAAAATGGTCTCACATGTCTAAAAATGCCTTTATTCTGTCATTTTGATTAATGGTTTCAGCTGGGTATAGCAACTTAGATTGAAAGTAATTTTTACTGAGAACTTTGAAGGCTTTGCTCCATGGCCTTCCATAAGTCAGAGTTGCTAGTAGAGAAAATCTGCCATCAGTCTGATACTTATTCCTCTGTAGTGACATTTTTTATTTTTCTTGAAAGTTTTAAGAGATTCCCCTTATCCTTGGTGTTTTGAAACTTCACACACATCTAGTTGTGTCTTCCAGTACTTTGTGCTAAGTACGTTGTAGACTTTGTAAATCCAAAGACTCATGTCCTTTACCTCTGGAAAATTCTGTTATATTATTTCTTTGGTAATGCTCTCTCTCCTGCCCCTTTCCATTTTCTCCAGTCTGTCTGGATGTACTGCTGATTGTATTGTTGATTTGTTGGACCTCCTAGATTGATACTCTGTCTTCAATTTCTGGGTTTTGTTCAATTTTGGGGGCAGATTTCTTTGGCCTTTATCTTTTAATCCTTCATTTAAAAGTTTAATTTTCAAGAATTTTAAAAAGTATTCCCCAAGTGTTCCTATCATCAAATATCTGAAAATACCTATAAAAATTTTTTCTTTTTTTTTTTCCAGTGTTTCAATTTATTGTTTCCAACTGGCCCGGTTTTTTTTTTTTTTTTTTTTTTGAGACAGTTGCTCTGTTGCTGATGCTGGAGTGCAGTGGCACAATCAGAACTCACTGCAGCCTCGACCTCCCAGGCTCAAGCAATCTCCCACCTCAGCCTCACAAGTAGCTGGGACCACAGCACATAGCTAATTTTTGTGTGTGTGTGTATGTGTATGTGTGTAGTTGGGGTCTCCCTGTGCTGCCTAGGCTCCTGGGCTTTTGAACTCCTGGGCTCAAGCAATCCTCCCACCTTGTCCTCCCAAACTACTGGGATTACAGGTGCGAGCCACTGCGCCCAAACCAATTTTTTTCTTCCTTTTTTTTTAATATATAAAAAACTTTTAGATCTCTCTCATGATACTCTTTTTCCAAAAGTCTGATGACATTTAAGAATTTACAAATGAGACAATAAAAAGACTAATGAAACAGTAGAAAACCAAATGGATATGTGGATGGTTCTTGTCACTTGATTGGTTTCACTTCACTTTTCTCAACTGTTGGGAAACTAGCAGTTTACTGGTGGCCCCTAAAAAATGCCAAAATACATGCGTCTTTGCTCTGGATCACCAGCACCATCCCTCTGTTGTTCCCAAACAGTTCATTCTATTTCTTTAGAGAAGGACTTGTCTTATCTTTGTTTGTTGGGAAGTAAACTCCTAGTTCCA